CAGGGACAGGTGCACAGGCCCTAAGTTCAAGTCCCAAGACTGGCAAAAAGAGAGAGAGAGAGAGAGAGAGAGAGAGAGAGAGAGAGAGAGAGAGAGAAAGAAAGAAAGAAAGAAAGAAAGAAAGAAAGAAAGAAAAAGAGAAGGGAGGAAGAAGGAAGGAAGGAAGGAAGGAAGGAAAGAAAGAAAGCAAGAAAAAGAAAAAAGGAAAGAGAAAGAAAGAAAAAGAAAGAAAAAGAAAGAGAAGGGGGAAAGAAGGAAGGAAGGAAGGAAAGAAAGAAAGAGACAAAAGAAATTCAGTCTCAATTTCTAGACCTGTAAAATGAGAATTCTAGTAGCTTAGAGTAAGAAAAATGACTGATTTAAAGTAAGCAAAGATCTTAACATGGGGCCTATTGCACATAACCCCCAGAGAAATGCTTGTCATTCTTCCAAGGTGCAAACATGTGCTCTCATGCAGAATGTGAGGATCTGAGACTGAATTTGGAGGCCCACAGGCTGACACTGAGAACACCTGAGAAATGCGGCTGAGAGGGCATGTTCAAATGCTGTAGCACTTGCTTGGTTGAGTAGAGGATGGTTTTGGAGCAGAATGAGAGTGCAATGTGGGCTGGTAGAGTTGATGGAGGTGGGAGGGATAAAATGTGCTTAACAGTAAAATGGTTTTAAGTACAGAGGTAACAGCGAAGCCTCTCAGCCATTACTTTTCATGTCACTTCTTTGTGTGAATGTGTGTGTGTTGGTACTGGAGCTTGAACTCAGGGCCTAGGTGCTGTCCCTTAGCTTTTGTCACTCAAGGCTGGCACTCTATGACTTGAGCCACAGCTCACTTCCAGCTTTTTGGTTATGAATTAGAGATAAGAAGTGACCTGGTTGGGTAGGGGAGCAGGGGGAGGATGGGAAGGGATGGGAAGGGGAAACAAAGGAAGAGGCTACAATGCTTGATGGGAAATGTACTCATTATCTTGCCCATGTAATTGTAACCCCTCTGTACACTATTTTCACAATAAAAAAAAAAAAAGAAGTGACCTGCTCAGGTCTCTTTTTCAGCTGATGTTTTAGTTCAGTTCCATAGTCTGTGTCTTAGGAAGTTGTTTTCATTGCACGGTAAATTTCCACTTGCATTGAAGGTTGCATTCGAATGGGATTTTTGTGCTTTTTAAAATTGTATGCAAAGCTTTCATGGGCTATCAATTGATGAACTTCTCACAGGGATTATATGATAAACATGATTAAAGCACTGAAATTTCATATTGAGAAAGAATATCTTGAAGTGAATATTTAAATGATAAATTAGTGGTTTTTATTCCTGTAAGTCACATATTTGTTATAGCCATAAAAATCACTGGGGTGGGTCTGGGAAGGTGGCTCACTGGTAGAGCGCTTGCCTTGCATGCATGAGGCCCTGGGTTCGATTCCTCAGCACCACATAAACAAAAAGAAAAAAGCCGGACATGGTGGTGTGGCTCAAGTGGTAGAGCACTAGCCTTGAGCTGAAGAGCTGAGGGACAGCGCCCAGGCCCAGAGTTCAGGCCCCACGACTGGACCTCCCCCCCCCCAAAAAAAAGCACCTACAATATTATCATTTTGTTGTATTTTTGCATTTGTGACTAAGATATATATATATCTCATTGCATAATCTACTTCCCACATAATTGGGCTTGTTTGCTCAAAATCCAGAAATCCTACAGGTATTTTCAAGTGACTTTAGAGAGCCTGAAGTTCTTCCATAGTTCTACACAGCCTGGGGTGGGGGGAGGTGGCTCCTCACTATGAGGAATGGAAGCCTTCACCTCCAATGGCAGCACAGCACTGGACTTGGGTATCAAGAACACCAGGTCTCAGACCCTCTTATTAGTCATGTACTTGTACACAGATCACTTAACTTCTCTGAAGCTCCACTTTCAAATTGGGATAATAATCCTTGAACAAACCTTTCAGGCTTATTATAAACTCTAAGTCAAGCAAGAGAAATAAAGTGTTCTGAATGAAATCCATTTGGAAACCCTGAAATACTTTATAAATATCAAATTCATATCATAAATGTTGTTTGTCTAAGGTATATGAAACACATCAACAATCATGTTTCTGATATAATTCTAATTACAAAGCCCACAAGTGGAAAAATCTGTTCAATCGCCATCATGTAGCTGGAGTAACAGCCATCTCAGTTTAATGGGCCATTGCTGTTATAACATAAATATTTTCCCTACAGTGTCCTTCAGTGAGCAAAGTCACAAAGCTTTATTGCTTCAAATAACTGCTTCCTATCATTCTGTCCTTGTCTTTTTTTTTTTTTTTTAACTGTTATAACTTGTCTGGCAGACATCTTCTGATCTACTCATCTGGATAGCTTCAGATTTCAGTGGATTTATGAGATGCAATGTAGCCCCAAATTCTAGGTACAAGACCATCACTAATAACTTGTTGTCCGAGTTGTTTTTTTTTTAAAACTTGTTTCAACTGAGATGATAATTGTATAATCATCAATTCCAATTCCAAATGAAGGCAAGGCTATAGAGACCACCCCTTAGCACAACTGAGGCTGAAAATAAGGTCTCAGAGAGTGAGGATTGATGAGGAATCCCTTGGGGAAAAGGTGTGTGTGTGTGTGTGTGTGTGTGTGTGTGTGTGTGTGTGTGTGTGTGTGTGTGTGTGTGTGTGTGTGTGTGCTCCCTAGCTCGTCTCAAACCAGTGAGAAAGGCTTTTTGGGTGGACCTGCAGACATCAATTTCCTATGGCTGCAGGGGGTGGGGTAGGATAAGCCTGCATGCTGAGAGGCCAGACAGCAAAGGTTGTATAGACTTTTCCTTGGGTTTCATCTTAGAGGGCAGTGGAAGATGGAATGAAATTTAGATTTTTAGAAGTCCAAAGCATCTACCAGAACAAAGAGTCTCCAGGAAATTCTCCTCCCTGAAAACTACCAAGAGCCCAGAACAGACCCACATGAGTTCATTGAACCATCATGGTCCAGCACAGTGAGCTCCAAGCCAGTCAACTCTGAAAGGAAGTGCTTCACCTCCTTACTTTCCTCCTTCTTCTTCCTTGCCTTCTTGGGTCTTAAAGATCCTCTAGGGACTAGGGGAGGCTCAGCCTAAGCCAACTGCATCTCTTCTGGGAAGGAAGGTCATAGACGTTAAGCCTTGGAGATGCAGATTGAGTTGCCTGTAATTCAAGTGAAGTTTGACATATTTGTTATGTTTTGAATACAACATAAGTTGGACTGAAGCTGTGGCTGAAACGTAGATACTATCAGTCTGTCAACTATCTAAAAATAAGCAAAAAAGTCTAGGGCTCTACTTAACTCTCCATCTGGGGACAGAAGATACACAGAAGAATTACATCTCACAAAATGTGATCTTACAATACTAGCTATATATTAAAATATTGCCTATATGTCAAACGGGTAACAGTCACATTGTCCAATGGAGTGGCCAGTGTATTGCTGTTGATACATGATAATTCACGTTGAGTCATTAGAGAAGGTTTCAAACAACAAAAAAGAGGGAAACAAAGAAAACATTTCAACCACCTAAAGCATGGATATTTTATTTGTGATCCTACAATTAATCAAGTATTCTTTTTGTCTATGATGGTGAAAATCCTATTGGGTATTTTGAAGAATTTTTACATAACCTTTAGTTAAGGTATCCTTTCCCACTGTGCACGTAGTATGTGTTCAAAACTATTTTCAATTTAATTATTCTTTACAATATATTTATCACCAAGGGATGTGGCATTTTTCCAATGTTGACAACACTACTTTATATTTATAAAATGCGGTGCAAACCTGAATGGGGAGTGATTATGGTCTCACTTGTACTTAGCACTGTAAAGTGTTGTTGAACAGAATTCAAATGACATAACATATAAGTGGGGGTTCTTATGACATTGCAGTCCCAACAAAAATGACTGGACCCCGGGGGACCTACACCCCAATCTCTGACGCTTCCCTGAGAGCTCCTCTCCTATGAGGGGGAACACAGGCTGCCCACCTCCAGGGGCAGAGATTCTCTAAGAGATGGGTTAATGCACTTTGTTGCACAAATGCCGAGGCTTAATAACAGTTAATATGCATGGATTGCCACGTCCATACTGCTTTATATTTATTTTCTCATTCAATCTGTGTAGCAGTCTTAAGACCTAGGGAGGCACTATTACATATTGCCCTCCACTTTACAGAAGAGGAAACGGAGCTGTTAAGGATCTGGGTCTGGGGATACCCAGAGGCTTAATTGTAACCAGTAAATTCTATTTCCTAAACCCTAAGCTGTCGTCCCCCAGTTGTTCAATCAAGGTGCGGAGAATCTCGCCGAGGATTAACGAACTGGGGAAAACTGCTCATTTGGAAGACCAGCTCTTGTGCTTGGTGCCCTAGGCTTTCACTCCCGCACCCCTCCCCCTCCCCTTGCATCTCCCCCCGCGGGGGGGGGGCGCCTTGGCACCTCTACGCATGCGTTGGGATGGCGGGACTGGGACTGGCGCAGGCCCAGAGGGAGGGGTTGCACCCTCGCCCCGCCCCGCCCCACCACACCTGTTCCAGCCCTGCGGGTGCTTGGCGGCTTTCGGAAAGCGGGTGGATGAGCTGATCCCGGCTGGTGTCCCTGTCTTCAGTGCTCATCACAGGTGCTCTGGGTCAGGTTAGAAGCCCCTTTTCTTGTACCCACTCCCAGATTCATTCCCCGGCCCCTTCGCCTGCCCAGGGTGGCCTCACCGTGCAGCCTGGGCCGCCCGGGCGTCTCCAAGAGGTGGTTTGTGTACGTTACCATGGAGACCGTGCCCAGCGGGGCAGAGCCGGAGCGCTGCGGGGGCCCGGGGCGGGCGGGGTTAGGATGCTGGGGCGCTCGGCCCTGGCCTGGACCCCTGGAGGAGCGGCCATTGCCCCGAGTGAGGAGTGAGGTGCCACTGTCCGCGCGGGAGGTGAGGCGACCCCCGCGGGTTCACCGGGGACCCCTCCTGTGCTCGGAGCGGGAGAGCTGGGCCGTGCGGGGTCTCCACGTGCGGTTGGGTGCGGGCAGCGATTTGTAGACCCTGGTCCCGAGTCTCATGCCCGGTATGTAACAGTTCCGTAGTGTTTGCCCCGTGAGAGTGTGGTAGACTGGGCTTTGTCACGCCGGCGACCGAGGTCACACGATCGCGCCTAGGCTCTCTTATGCCGCGGGTAGAACCTCAGTGAAGTGCATTGTGACAATATTTACCATACATTAAAATATCTGTGAGTAACTTGCCACGAGTTACCGTAACAGCAGGTCTTCCCACCCTGCCTCAGATTTCTTTTAACTTTTACACTTTACTTCTTTTGTATCCTGTTTTTGTGAATCTGATTCGTTGTTGGTGTTAATTTGGCATAGCTGATATCAATAAAATACTTAATAAAATATCACTGATTTCGGAGAGGAAAACACCTGTATTTAAAATTTAAAACTTAACAAAATACGTGAAACACTTAACCTGTCATTATCTTCTGCCATTTCTTGTTTTTTAAAATGCACTTTGCAGGCATGGGAGAAAATTGTCTGCATCCTTTATCAGCTATCACTTGGGCAGGAATTGTTAATGTTTTCTGAGGATCAGGCACTATGGTAAAGCACTTTGCTTGAATCATTTCGTTTGATTCTCAAAACAGATCTTGAGAGTATTATTATTACTGTCCATGTTTTATTTTATTTTTTTTGGGGTCCGGTCGTGGGGCCTGAGCTCTGGGCCTGGGCGCTGTCCCTCTGCTCTTCAGCTCAAGGCTAGCGCTCTACCACTTGAGCCACAGTGCCACTTCCAGCTTTTTTTTCTGCTTATGTGGTGCTGAGGAATCGAACCCAGGGCCTCATGCATGTAAGGCAAGCACTCTACCACTGAGCCACCTTCCCAGCCCCCTGTCCATGTTTTATAGAGGAGGAAACAGGTTTAGAGATGTTCAAGGTCTTATTCAAGGTCACAGAGCTACAAGTGGCCTGTTTAGATGCTTGTATTAACACCAAAGAAATTCAGTCATGGAAAGAGTCCTGAGAATTTCATTTGCCTAGTACAAGTGTGCAGTGCCCAGCCTTTTCCCCTGTCATACCCTCATAGCTCAGTATTGCATTCAGCAAGAAGGATCTGGTTCAGGCGAGTATTAGCAAAGAAAAAGACAAATGTTTTGTTGCTATTTATTTTTTGTGCTGGTCCTGGGGCTTGAACTCAGGGCCTGGGCACTGTCCTTGAGCTTTATTCCTTAAAGCTAGCACTCTACCACTTGAGCCCCAGTTCTGCTTCTGGCTTTTTGAAAGTTAATTGGAGACAAGTCTCTCACAGACTTGCCTACCTGGCTGACTTTGAACCTTGGCCTATTGAGTAGCTAGCATTGCAGGTGTCAGCTACTGGCACCAGGTGATTGTCATTTTCAATTAAGTATAAATTTCATGAAATTATGGCTGAACTTTTCCCCAAACTAGGAAGAAAAAACCCCCAAAACTTCAGCTTTAAAATTTCTCCTGTTGGTGAAGTCTTTCCCCTAGCAGTCCCATTATTTATACTAATTTAGTGTATTAAAATTATACCAATTAGAGGGCTGGGAAGGTGGTTCAGTGGTAGAGCGCTTGCCTTGTATGCCTGAGGCCCTGGGTTCCATTCCTCAGCATCACATAAACAAAAAGAAAAAAGCCAGAAGTGGTGGAGTTGCTAGCCTTGAGCTGAAGAGCTGAGGAACAGCCCCTAGGCCCAGAGTTCAGGCCCCACGACTGGACTCCCCCCCCCAAAAAAAAATTACACCAATTAGAATGAAGTTTTGAAAAAAGGGTTGGAGATGCAGCTCACTAGTAGATTATTTGCCTGGCATGTGTAAAGCCCTGGGTTTGAGCCCTGGAACCACAAAGCAAAAGCAAAGCAAAAATCTGGACCATTTCCAAATTAGTTTGTGATTGTAGGCTACAATAGTACTTGAACAGGATCTGCATCCTCATGGCTCTTTACATGTGATTTCAGCTGAGCAAAATGGGTGGGCAAAGAAACATTTGCTATTGAGCTTTGGTATTCATTCATCTAGGATATGATCACAAAATGAAGGTGATTTGGATCAATTCATTCATAAATGTGGACAACTGTGGAACTAAACCTTTCAGAGTAAAGACAAATGTGGTTTCAAAGTAGGCCCTATCTAAAATTTAGCCTTACACTAGCATGTTTTGAGCAGGACAGTGGGAAAGAAAAGGAAAATTTAGAAGGTTTTAACAGATACCCATCAGTGTTTTCCTATAGGTTGAAGACTATGAGACGAGGGCTGAGAGCAGCGCTCAGTGGTAGAGCATTTGCCCAGCATGTGTGAGTTTGATTGTTCCCTGTACATATCTTTCTCTCAATGGAATATGGACACAACTTTACAGCCCATCATTTGAGAGCTGCTCTCTCATCTTTGCCCTATATATGCTCGTATTGTTACCTACAAATTGCTCATTATATTTTTCAAGCTTGCCATAGAGGAATTGTTTGGTACATACATACGGGTTTCAGCACTCCTTTCTGAACTATTGAGTAAAAACTGTTGGTGTTAGCCAGATACAGGTGACTTATGACTGTGAGCTATTCAGGAGGCTGAGATCTAAGGTTCATAGTTCAAAATCAGCCCAGACAGGTAAATCCATGCAACATCTTATCTCTTTACTTCTAATTACCAGAAAAAAAAAATCCAGAAGTAGAGCTGTGGCTCAAGTAGTAGTGTGCCATCTTTGAGCAAAAAGCTGGACAGTGACCAGCCCCTGAGTTCAAGCCCCACTACTGGCACACACACACACACACACAAAACAGTTGGTGTTTGTTTATTGTACCATATATTTGCAGGGTGTCGTGTCTAGCTGAAGAATATTTTACTTTAAAAGGAAAGATGCTATCTTCAAGTGATAAAAAGTTAGAAAAACTGGATCCATTTTATCAACCTTCAGTGGCCAAGCTGAAGACCAGTGCAGAAATTATAAGTGAAGCTCGGAATGCGTTAAGAACCCTGAAAACCCAACGACCATTTACACCTCAGGAAGACCAGAGGAAACTATTTGGATCTTCCTCATCAAGAACACAAGAAAACAGACCTCCTTCCACCTTCAGGTATAGACACTTCCCTTTTGTGTACACTCAGGTGTTCTAACCGCCAGCTTACATCTCCCCTTCATTCTACTCTACCTATTTAGTAGTTCTCCTTTCTCCAACCACTGATCTTATTACTATCTCTATACTTTTGTCATGTTGGATGTCATACAGGAAGAGTCATGTCGTCTTTTCACATTGGCTTCTTTCATTGAGTAACATGCATTTAAGCTTCCATCATGGTTTTCCATAGCCTGGCAGCTTGATTCATTTTAGCACTTGCGTTACTTGAATATACCACAGTCTATCCATTTACCTACTGAAGGGTACTTCACTTGCTTTCAAGTTTGGGCAGTTACATAGATTTGCGGCATATACATGGATACTATGAATAACTATGAACCAATTTTTAGGTGGGTGGAAGTTTTCTGCTCTTTTGGATGACAACTAATGAGCATGATTTCTAGGTTATGTGGTAAAACACAAACAAACCAAAAAAAAATCCAAATTGTCTTCCAAAATGACCATACCATTTTATATCCCCATTGGCAATGAACGAGAGTTCCTGTTCCTCTACATCCCCTTATTCATACTTGGCATTGTCAGTGTTCTGGATTTGGTCCATTCTAATGGTATCTCTTGCTCTAATCTGCACTTCCCTGATGCTATGCGGTTTGGAGCATCTTTACATACGCTTTTTTTTTTTTTTTTAAGCATGTCTTCTTCAGTCAGGCATATGTTAAGGTCTGCAGTCCATTTTATTTTTAAATTGGGTTGTTTTGGGTTGTTTGTTTTCTTGTGGTCGAGTCTCAAGTATTTGGGGGTATTTTGGATAACAATCCTTTATCCTATATGCTTTGCAAATATTTTCTATCAGACTATGGTTATTCTTTCTGCTATTTTAACGGGGTTGTTTCTGTTAGTGTTGTTTTTACTTACAGAGAAGACACTTTTAATTTTAATGAAGTTTAGCTTAGCAATCCTTTCATGGATCATGCCTTTGGTACTATATATGGGTCATACCTTATCCAAATCTAAGGTCATCTAGACTTTCTCCTGTGTTATCTTGTCAGATTTTATAGTTTTCACTCTTACATTTAGATCTGTGAATAAATTTGAGCTACTTTTTTTTTTTTTTGGTCAGTTGTGGGGCTTGAACTCTGGGTTTGGGCCCTGTCCCTGAGCTCTTCAGCTCAAGGCAAACGCTCTACCACTTGAGCCACAGCACCACTTCCGGTTTTCTAGTGGTTTTTATTATAACCCCTGCTTTCACTGTATTTGATGTTGGTATAATTTGTGGTGGGGAAGGAAAAAACAAATTGTTTAAATAGGGATACAGGTGGACCCATTGCAACAATGAGATGTACAAATCATTATGTTGAAAAATGAACTTTATAACTTTGGGGGGGTGGGGGGAGGGGTGATGGGAAGGGATGGGAAGAGGAAACAAAGGAGGAAGCAACAATGCTTGATAAGAAATGTACTCATTATCTTGCCCGTGTAATTGTAACCCCTCTGTATGGTATTTTCACAATTAAAAAAAATTAAAAAAAAAAAAAAAGAGTCTCACAGACTTTCCTGCCCGGGCTGGCTCTGAACCGTGATCCTCAGATCTCAGCCTCCTGAGTAGCTAGGATTACAGGCATGAGCCACCGGTGCCTGACTTGAGCTACTTTTTGTAAAGCATGTAAAGTCTATCTAGTTCCTCCCTCTTCCCTTATTTTTTGCATATATCCAGTTGTCTGAGCAGCATGTATCTTTTTGCACTGAAAAGTTCCTGACTTAGTAGTTCAATTATGAGGTGTTTTTTTTTACTTGACAATAATGTGAAAGTGATGTTTGTTTAGTAGAAATTGGGCTATTGAATTTTGAAGTCTAATCTTTTTCTGAGCTAGAGATCAGCACTGGCAAGATATAACTTCTAGTCAGGCACAGGATCATGAGAGCAAATAACTGGGTTACTAAGTTATGGTCTAGCTAGGTTACATAGATTGAATACATTTTTAAGTTCCGATAGGTTTGTTGGCACCTAACTCCACCGTGAGTCAAGGAACACCTGTACTGTCTTTCCTCCTCTGTCAAAGACGGGGACTTTTATGGATCTATCTGGGCTCTGTTCCATTGATCTGCTTCTCTCGCCAGAATCATAGTGCTTGATTACTATATCATTACAGTTGTTGTTCTTCTCCAATGTTACATTGGCTATTCTGGATCTTTTGTCTCCATATTAACTTTAGAATCAGTTTATTGGTATCAACAAAATAACTTGACAAAATTTTGGACAAGATTGCATTGGATCTATACATCAAGCTAGGAATAACTCCTATTTTGACAACATTTAGTTTTCCTATCCATGGAAATGGAATGTCTGTCCATTTAGTTTTCCTTTGATTTTTTTCCATTGGCTCATAAAATTTCCTCATAGATAGTATATATATTGTCATATTTATAACTGGGTGTTTCTTTTTATAGGAATAGCTAATTTAAATGCTGTTGTGTTTTCATTTCAGTTTCTGCTGCTCATTACTGACATATAAGGAAGGCATTGGCTTTGTATTAATCTTCTATCCTGTAACCTGCTATAATCAGCTATTCATTCCAGGAGCTTCTTAGTTTTGTTTATGTCCATTCTTTAGGATTTTTCCACATAGATGATCATATCATTTGCAAAAATGATTTTCATTTTTTCTTTTTCTTTTTTTGGGTATGGGGGGAGTGTTAAAACAAGGCCTTGCTATATGGCCCAAGTTCTAGGACTACAGGCAAATGACACCCCACCCAGTGATAGTTTTATTTCTTCATTCATTCTCAATCTGTACACCTTTTCATACCTTTGCTTGTCTTAGTGCATTAGCTAGGATACCTAGTATGATGTTAAGAACCAATGATGGAAAGGAATATCCTTGCCTTGTTCTTGACCTTAGTGAGTAAGTTTCAAGTTTTTCATCATAAAGTATGATGTTACCTGTAGGATTTTTGTAGATATTCTTTTTGAAGTTGGAGAAGTTTCACTGTAGCCCTAGTTTACTAAGAGCTTTTGCCATGAATGGGTATTGGAATTTACAAATGCTCATTTTCTTCCTTTGCATAATGTATTGATAAAATCATAGATTTTTCTTCTTTTTTTCCCTTTTTTTTTTTGTAGGTCATGGGACTTGAACTCAGGGCCTGGGCATGGGCCCTGAGCTTGTTTTGCTTAAGGCTAGTGCTCTATCACTGTGTGCCACAGTGCCACTTCTGGTTTTCTGGTTGTTAATTGGAGACAAGAGTCTCACAGACTTTTCTGCTTGGGCTGGCTTTGAACTTCAATCCTCAGATCTCAGCCTCGGGACAGGCTAGGATTAGAGGCATGAGCCACCAGCACCTGGTTAAAATTTTTCTTCTTTAGTTTGTTGGTGTGATAGATTTTCTAATTGATTTTCAAGATAGTTGGGAGGGTTGTTCTTCTAAGGTAGATACTTCTTTATTTTTATTGATATCAAGTAGTTGTAAAAGGGGGTTTTATTTGAACAGGAGTATTTATGTACACAGTGCTTCTAGATCATAACCATCCTCAATAGCTACTTTTTTGTGGGGGAGGGTCAGTTGTGGGGCTTGAACTCTGGGCCTGGGTGTTGTCCCTCAGCTCTTCAGCTCAAGGCTAGCCGTCTACCACTTGAGCCACAGTGCTACTTCGTGTTTTCTGAGTAGTTTATTGGAGATCAGAGTCTCACAGACTTTTCCTGCCCAGGCTGACTTTGATCTGCAGTCCTCAGATCTCAGCCTCTTGAGTAGCTAGGATTACAGGTGTGAGCCACCAGCGCCTGGCAATAGTTACTTTTTAAAGTTTGACTTTTGTTCAAGATTCTTTTTTTTTTTTTGAGGGGGGGGGGGTCCAGTCATGGGGCCTGAACTCTGGGCCTGGGCGCTGTCCCTCAGCTCTTCAGCTCAAGGCTAGTGCTCTACCACTTGAGCCACAGCACCACTTCTGGCTTTTTTCTTTTTGCTTATGTGGTGCTGAGGAATCGAACCCAGGGCCTCAGGCATGCAAGGCAAGCGCTCTACCACTGAGCCACCTTCCCAGCCCTTGTTCAAGATTCTTAAAAACAATTTTAGTCCTTGAGTTCCAGCAGCTACCTTAGAATAAAAATTTTAATAGTGATTGTTCTACCAACTTTATAAAATGATATGAACAAAGCTTTTGAAAAAAATCACTGTATATACTTAATTATTCAATATATTTAGGTAATAAAAAGAACTGTCAATAAAACATGTATTGTAAAATTTTAAATTGCTTTTTCTTCTTAAGGTTTATGTATTGAATACTTGCTTTTCAACTAGAGTTTACTAACATATATTAGAAACAAAAGGTAGAATTCATCCCAAACTAATAACTGCACCATCTCTCATGCCAGCCTTCATGCATCCAGTTTTGAGTTACCTGACTCCAGGCCTATCTCAAGTGCTCGTCTCAGTCCACTGGAGCTGGTGAGTACTGCACATCCCCACCACTGTTGCAAAGTGGCTTCCAAAAACACTGGCAGTTGGCACATAGAAGTGCATAGAAGAAAAGTATCACCTAGGCCTACATGGAGTAATAATTTAATATGAAAGCATATTCTTATGTTTTTTCAAATATAATGGCTAATAGCTCGGGAAACACTTCTAGAGCTTACCTATACCTTGATAATAATTATTTTGCATGTACTTGTCCTGGGGCTTTAGCTCAGGGTCTCGGCACTAACTATGAGCTTTTGTGCTCTACTACTTGAGCCACAATTCCATTTCCAGCTTTGTGGTGATTAATTGGAGATTAGTCTTATGGACTTTCCTGCCCAGGTTGGCTTTGAACCGTGGTCCTCAGATCTCAGCCTCCTGAGTAGCTAGGGTTATAGGCATGAGCCACTGGCACCTACCTGATAATAAAGAATTTTAAAGTCATTTGGTAAACAAATAATTCACAATATTTTTGTTTTTGAAACAGTTCTATACATATTATTTCCTTTTTTTTAACAGTTATGTATACATATTATATGTAAAATTTGTGAAAATTGTACATGTACTCTTTAAGTGTATGTGTGTGTGTGAGAGAGAGAGAGAGAAAGAGAGAAAGAGAGAGACCTGTTATAAAAAAAAACAAAAAGCAAATCAAGCAGTCTCCTGGTCCCTAATTCTTCATTTTTTCTTCTTTTGACTTCTTTTAACACATTCTCACAGTCTCTTGGTATTTTTTTTCAGTGTGTGTGTGTGTGTGTGTGTGTGTGTGTCCAGGTTTTAAATAGCACGTTGTCTTGCTGTTCTCTGACTTATGAGCTAGAAGAATTATGACTTTGAAGGACAATAGGAATCCCACTCTTGTATGTCTTCTCATTTCCTGTCACCACACATTTACCCTTCTTCTTCCCCACTGCTGTCTTTCCAATATAAGTGGATGATAACTGGTTAGATCAGTTTTTTTGGGCAGTAATTATATAAAACCTGTTCATAGCTGAGCTTTGAATTGATGATAACTAATAATGCTTCTCTCTTTTTATTCTTACCTTCACCAATGTTTTTTCCCTAGGGTGTTAATTGTATTGCTTTCAGGATTTTCATTCATCAACGTTCTTTTTTTTTCTTTTTTCTTTTTGTCATGGGGCCTGAACTCTGGGCCTGGATGCTGTCCCTCAGCTCTTCAACTCAAGGCTAGCGCTCTACCACTTGAGCCACAGCGCCACTTCCTGCTTTTTCTGCTTAAGTGGTGCTGAGGAATTGAACCCAGGGCCTCATGCATGCAAAGCGAGTACTCTACCACTGAGCCACCTTCCCAGCTAGTCATCAACTTTCTTACTGGAAATCTAAATTGCCTTTGTGTGTTCAGGTACCAGAGGTGTCCTATGAATTTACCTCATTTGGAAGCTCTCCAACTTCAGCCCAACCACTTGTCCTGGGAACGGTTCGCCATCATCCCAGGAGGCAGCTCCAGCCCCTCTGTGGCTTCTTCCTCTTTCCTATATCCCAGGTCCTTCTCTTTCTTGACTCACACATGTTTTAGTGGACCATTCCCTTCCATAGCTTTGTGAGACAGGATGCATAGGAAGGGTGATTATTCCAGTTTCTATTTCTCTGCTTTATTTTGTTTTTTGTTTTTGTTGGTCATGGGGCTTGAACTCTGGGCCTGGGCATTGTTCCTCAGCTCTTCAGCTCAAGGCTAGCGCTCTACCACTTGAGCCACAATGCCACTTCCAGTTTTCTGGTGGTTTATTGGAGATAAGAGTCTCAGGAACATTCCTGCCCGGGCTGGCTTTGAACCATGATCCTCAGATCTCAGCCTCCTTAGTAGCTAGGATTATAGGCATGAGCCACTGGCGCCTGGCTTATTTCTCTGCTTTATTAACTGGCATTCAAATTTAGATACATAGAAATAATTGTTCTCTTATTTTCTAGTGGATAACATTGACAGAAATGTGATCATGAGAATAATTAGAGAAATGGTATTTTATCTTTACCATCATCGAATCAGTCCACTTGTTTCCTAAACTGACCAAGCCCAGTTAATATTTTTAGCCACTTTTCGACTGGCGGAAAAGACACAGATCATGAAAAGGCAACATGATGCATTTACAAAGTAAGCACTCAGAAGTCAGCAATTCAGAAAGAAAATGGAGTCTATAACACTATCTATGAGATCATTTGTAGCCTTTGACCCTACCCTCACCCAACCACTGCCTCCCCAGAATAACTACCGTGCTATGTTGTCATTGTTTGTTTGTTTTTTGGGGGGTCTGGTTGTGGGGCCTGAACTCTGGGCCTGGGCACTCTCTCTCAGCTCTTCAGCTCAAGGCTAGTGCTCTACCACTTGAACCACAGCACCACTTCCAGCTTTTTTTTCTTTTTGCTTATGTGGTGCTGGGGAATCGAACCCAGGGCCTCATGCATGCAAGGCAAGCGCTCTACCACTGAGCCACCTTCCCAGCCCTATGTTGTCATTGTGGATCATTGTTGTTTCTTCCTTCTCCTCTCCTTCCTTCCTTCCTTCCTTCCTTCCGTTTCTGAACGGTGTGGCAACTATACAGTAGCAAGTCACAGGCTTTAGGTGATGGGAATCCAGAAAATCTGTGGAGAAAATTTTAGTGATAGAAATGCACACAGAACTGACACCTCAAAAAATTAATCTTAGCTGGGCACTAGTGGCTCATGTTTGGAATCCTAGCTACTCAAGAGGCTGAGATCTGAGGATCCCAGTTCAAAGCCAGCCTGAGCAGAAAACTCTGTGAGGCTCTTGTCTCCAATAAACCACCAGAAAACCAGAAGTGGCGCTGTGGCTCAAGTGGTCGAGCACTCGCCATGAGTTGAGAGCTGAGGGACAGCACCCAGACCCAGAGTTCAAGCCCCATGACCAACAACAACAAAATTAGTCTAAGGAGAATTTTAATTTTTGACTTCTAAGAGGTCTTATACTCTATGTGTGCATTCTGTTGCCTCATAAATTACATCATTATCAACTTTCTGAGTGGAACGTCATTAATTGCTTTCCAGCCTTTATGCAGAGTTGGGGAGACCCTGCCTTCAGTCTCTGGATCTGAGGAATCAAGGGCAGAGATTAGTCAAGGGCTCAGGCTCTAGGATGAATCAAGGCCAGCTTAATCCTTTAAGTGAACTATGAATTACACCTTCCTTGTCTAGTTTGTTGCATCAAAATGGTCTATGTGTCTTCAATGAATCTGGCTTTGTATCTTCAGTGAATCTGGAGTTCCATTGGCCAAATCAAGTCTTAAAATCTGGCCTTCCCAGTGTACTTGATTTTACTTAAGTTGTTGGTTTGTTTAGTGAGAAGGAAAACCCCGTGAGGAGAGATTCTCAAGTGAAGATTAGTAGTTATTTACAACATTCTCTGATTTCTAAGATTATTTGCACTTCATAAGAAAAAAAAATCTCATAAAGTTTTAGCTGAGCATGGTGATAATGTGTACAATCCCAGCTACTCAGCAGGCAGAGACAGTAAGATCTTGAAATTGATGGCAGTCCAGGCTAAGTTAGGGACCTGATCTCAGAAGTAAAATACAGCCAGGCGCCGGTGGCTCATGCCTACAATCCTAGCTACACAGGAGGTTGAGGTCTGAGGATGGCGGTTCAAAGCCAGCCTGGCATGAAAGTCCACGAGACTCTTATCTACAGTTAACCATCAGAAAACTGGAAGTGATACTATGGCTCAAGTGGTAGAGGGCTAGCCTTGAGCTGAAGAGCTGAGGGGCAGCGCTCAGGCCCAGAGTTCAAGCCCCATGACTGACAAAAAAAAAAAAAAGAGTAAGGCTCAGTGCATGGCTTAAGGGGTAGACACACATGTAAAGCCCTGTGTTCAATTCCCAGTGACACACACAGACACACAGACACACACACACACACACACACACACACACACATGCACACAAACACATTTGCAGACTTGTAGTTTTCTCTTGAGGAATTAAAAATGCCTTACACATATTAGTTTATAGTCCAATCTAGTGAGATACATAATGAATTTTATTATAAACAGTAATTTTGTGCCAGGCAAATAATGCTTTTGGTCAAGGAACAGTTAGTTATACTATATTGCTCACCAGAGATAATTTGGTTACCGTCTTTTGGGGAAAAATTAACCCTCCAGACCATAATTTTCCTTTTAATAAGTTCTTTTATTTACTACCAAACACATTTATAACAGTTTCAGTATCTGTAAAATAGACCGTTTGCTATATTGACATTATTATGTGGCAAACTTCATAAACTTGTTTTGTTTTATATGCTGCTTTGTTGGTCAGCTATTCATTGCTGTGGCACACAAAATACCTGAGCAAAACTACCTAAAGGAGGGAGAATTTGTGTGGCTCAAAGTTTCAGAGGTTTCTACGCTTGGTGGCTTCTAGGCTGGTGCTGTAGAAGAATGTCTTGGCAGGAACTCATGATAGAATGAAGTATCTCAGCTCCTGAGAGACAGGGAGTCAGAGTGCCTGAGCTAGAGGGCTCCCTCTATTTCTTGCTTATATTCCATCGGTCTCCAGCTTATGGTATGGGACTGTATTGTTCACATTTGGGATAGGGCACCTCCTTTAATGAGTCCTCACTGGAAGCAGCTTCACTGATATGCCCAGAGCTGTGTTTTACTAATCTAATCTCCTCAGCCTTCTCAATCCCATCAATGAAGACGACACATCACAGCTGCAGAGTGCAGGAAACCTTATATTGCACCTTCAGTATTGAAATTATGAATTTTGTTTTTCGTAACTATATAAAGTACTTACTTCCCTATATGATACTCTTTGCTTTTCTGTTACTATTAGCTTCATGGGCAAGTCACACTCATAACTATTTTTCAACAAACTGGGGAGAGTACAAAGTAAAGCAACTGTGCCCTGAGCAAGTGTGGCAGTATTTGTGTAGACAAATTAGTGTACCCTCCTTAGAGTCATGTCATAGGCCAGGGTCTTGATTTGTGGGAAGAGTTCAAAGGGACTGAGAACCAAATCTGATAATAGGGAGTGAACTGAGTGTGTAAGGAAGGGAACTAGCATTTACTGGGCTTCAATACAAGGATGCTTGTCTATTATAAAAAGCTAGGCGCTAGTGGGTCATGCCTATAATCCTAGCTTCTCAGGTGGTATGCACCTGTCATCCCACATATGGCAGGAAGCCTAAATATGAGGATTGCAGTCCATGATGGCTAGGGTTAATAGGCTTATCGCAAATAGGCTATTTGCTTTAAAATTTCTTAATATCATTTAAAAAATACTTCTTTGAAGGGAGGCATAGTGGTAACATACTTAAAATCCAGCACTCAGGAAGCTAAAACAGAACTGTGAGCTCAAGGCCAGGCTAGGCTGCAGAGACCTTATCTCAAACAAACAAACAAAAAACCCCTAACTTTAGTGGAATCTATGGTATCTAAAATTGGTATTCATAGTTCACATAAGTCTTGGCTAATATAGGTGTCCAATACATATTTTTCTGAACTAAATTGAACATAGTACTTTACAAAGCTAGTTGACTATATTAATTTCATCGTCTCATAAAGCTCATGTTTGTTTGCAAGCCTGAGTAACTTGTGTCTTTCAAATAGGCTAAGCAATGTAGCAGAATGGTCTATTCAAATAATTGACAAAAACAATTAACGATGACAGGCCTATCTATATGGATAATCTCACGAGTGTTCAAGTGTTTATGGAAGTGTATGGAAGTAGATTTAGGAACTTTAAAAGATGCCTGGTAATTTTGATGGCTAATGAGCTAGTAGAGCTAAGGATCCACTATGATGCCAGAAGGAAAAGAAAGAAAGAAACAAAGCCCTGTGCCCCCCTGAAAGCAGGAGGTTAGTTCCAGTGAATGAGCCTTGAGAGGCAGAGACTGATGCCGATCTTTTTGGTTTTTAAATTCTCTTTTCAGAAACCAAAGGCTCCACCATCTTACACCACAGAAGAGGACCTCTGCCTGCCTAAGCCCCCACTGGACCCTGCAAAGATTCGAAAAATAAGCAGTGCCCGGGCACGCTTGTTCCGGGCAGCCTCCCAGGGGGCTCTTCTGCCCGACAGATCCCTTCCTCCAGCTGAGTGTAAGCCGTGCCATGTCCTTTCAACCCTGGGGACAGACATGCTGCTTAAGTTTGCTACAAAAGTTATTTTTATGTGATTTTCCATAACTTTGGGGTTTTTTTAACATATAAACTAAGAGTTAATGTTGGGTAAAAGTTGGCATTATGTAGTTTATGTATTTTCCCCAGGTGTTTACAAAGAATATCTAAATAACACAGAGTTTTATTTAAAATAAACATTTCTGTGTAGTAAAAGGATATTAGGAGAAATATTTCCAAAGACTTGGTTCGCATACGTCAGGAAGGAATAATGTTTAGAATTTGAAAAGTTGTCTATTTGAGAGCCAGATGCCATTGGCTCCTACCTATAATCCCAGCTATTCCAGAGTCTTGAGATCTGAGGATTATGATTCAAAGCCAGCCCAGGCAGGAAAGTTCATGAGACTCTTATCTCCAATTAGCTATCCAAAAAAAAAAAAAACAAAAAAACTGAAAGTAGAGCTGTAGCTCAAGTAGTAGAGCATTAGGCCTTGAGTACAAAAGCTCAAGGTCAGCCCCCAGATCCTGAGATCAAGTCCCATGACTGGCACACCTGAGCGCGCGTGCACACACACACACACACACACACACACAATTAATTGCAATTAAAAAATGAATGAGAATGATAAGATTCTTATCATGAACACTAATCCTCTGATTTAATACCTTTCTTGTTCCTGAAACTGCATAAGCAAAACTTGAATGGGTCCCTTGCCATGTATGGGGCTGCTTAACCCTGTGACCAAGCAGCCAGGCCTTGCTTCCAAGCTTCCTTTTCCTTCCAGGTTAAGGGTCAGGACTCCTCCCCACTACAGGCTGCTCCTGCCAAGTTCCCAGAGCAGGGTTAAGCTTTAAACCCGAGTGTGTCAGCCCCCTCCCCCCACCACATGAGAGAGTGGGTGTGGCTCACTCTCCAGCATCGCAATCCCCTCCAAAGCCAGTTACTGGAGCACTTTTTCTTCTTTCTTCTTTCTCTCTGCCATCTCCTTTGGTTGGTTGGTGATGATTTAAAATTTGCTTTCTCTCCCCATGTTTATTTTATAGCCAAGTATCAAATGATCGGGTTGTATTTTGAATGACATTAGCGAGGTTTCCACCCTCAGCCCCTTCTGTCTTATTTATTGTTGAATATTTACAATGATCTGAATCAGTAAATTAAAACAGAACTTTATTTACTTTCTTACTTACTTAATTTATTTTGCCAGTCCTGGGGCTTGAACTCAGGGCCTGGGCACTGTTCCTGAGCTTCTTTTGCTCAAGGCTAGCACTCTACCACTTGAGCCACAGCACCACTTCCAGCTTTTTCTGTGTATGTGGTATTGAGGAATGGAACCCAGGGCTTCATGCATGCTAGGCAAGCACTCTACAACTAAGTCACATTCCCAGCCCCTATTTTATTGTTAAAAACCAAGCAAACAAACAAATAAACTTGAATGGGATTTTTCCTCCTGCCACAGCAGTGTTGTCTGGAGCTTAATCCAGGAGACTCCATGTTCTAAAGACTGCCTGCCATGGGTGGGATCATGCACAGAGTTTTCCAAGCTGCAGGGAAAGATCTGTTAGTAGAATAAAAAACAATTTGGCAGACCATATGAGCATTGTTTAAAAAATAGAAATAATGGAAAATATTAGGGTACACCATAATGGTAAGTATTGCTTCAAGAAACGTCACTTCAGCTGTCAGTTTATGTTCAGGGTCAAATTATAAATAGATTTTTTTAAACTATGAGTCCAAAAAGTTCCTGGTGATGGGAAAGTGACTGGATGATGAATGTCTGCCCCCCCCCCACTCCCCCCCACTCAACCTCAGGCCCTCCTTCCCCAGCTCAGTTCCCTCCCTCCCTCCATTAATAGTCACAGTACAGAGGCCAGCCGCCACCTACGTGCCTACATGCAGTGAAACATATCTTCAATGTGGTTCTTCTAATCCACCTGTTAGCAGTGAACTCACATCCCTAAAGGCCAATGGCTCTACACAGGAAATAACAGCAGTAAAATAGTCATTGCCGTTTTAAAAGCACACATCAATTTAAAGTAAATACTGGCGCTCTGTGCCTTGGAATCTGTCATTTGTGTACAAGCTGTGTGGATTTTATTTCCAAGGCACTATTGTCTAAAAAGTGTTCTGTTCACACCAAGGCCCCAAAGTCATCTATGCCTGGAGAGAAAGGGCCTAGCCTTGCCCTTAGTGTAAAGTTCTTTGTAGTTGAAAGTCAGTAGATAAGGGCGGGCATAGGGTGTGGGGGCAGGTTTGGACCTTCTGGTTTGAAAAGGGGAAGGGGAAAGGATGGGGCAATCATCTCAATTAGGCCCACAGTTGTATGGCTTTGAATTCAGAACTGCTTGTAAACTGGATATGATATTGTGGCTAATGTATTCCCTGTTATTCAAGCTGCAGAGAGACCTCAGGACCTGCCTGTCACACTTTCAGTCATCAAGGCCTCTTCTACTTCTCACAGTCTGCATTCTCCTTCCTCACCACTGCCCTGTGTCTCTTTTTACCTCTTCCCTGTCTGCAGCCTTTGGAGCTAGCTACAAGCAGAGCCTAGGGAAGTTGAGCATCCAACCAGATGTGGCCATGAAAAATGAGCATGTTCTGTCTCCCATGAAGCATAAGAGGTCATGAAGGAAATAACCCACATGCCATCATCCCCTTGCTGAACACCTTTTTTTTGGGGGGGGGGGGTGTCAAGTCGTGGGGCCTGAACTCTGGGCCTGGGCGCTGTTTCTCAGCTCTTCAGCTCAAGACTAGCGCTCTACCACTTGAGCCACAGTGCCACTTCTGGCTTTTTTTCTTTTTGCTTATATGGTGCTAAGGAATCGAACCCAGGGCCTCATGCATCAAGGCAAGCACTCTACCACTGAGCCACCTTCGCAGCCCATTGTTGAACACCTTTCAACCCCTTCCCCACCCCATGGCTCCAGGAATGCTTGCCAAACTGAGTTCCAGAGAAATCTCGGAACAGTGTAGGCAAAATGTGGACAGATTTTCCTTGGGAAAGGATCCAGCATTTAAATCAGTCATGGAAACACCGGCCATTCCTGGCCTTCCAAAACACATTAAAGGGTATGAAAAACCATCCAGGGAAGAAATCCATTTACTTTAAGTCCAACCCACATTTCCCAAACCTGCTTGACTGAAGGATCTGTCTCTTGAGAACACAGTTTGGAAAACCATAGAAGACAGCACCATTTTTCTGTGAAGAGTCAGATTGTAATCATCTTAAGCCCCTATGAGCATGTAGTCTCTCTCCAGCACATTGAACACTGCAGTAGAGAATAGAAGCAGCCATTGCTGATTTTTGGCCACTGAATCTTGAACTTCATGTAATTTTCACTTGTCATAAATCATTGCTCTTCATCTGATTTTTTTAATCAAAAATGTAAAAACCATTTTTAGTTCCTAGTTTTATAAAAATATGAGGCAGGCTAGATTTGCTGGTTCAGTAGTTTTCTCACCCCTGGTTGAAGGGGTGAGGTCCCAGTTCTGTTGCTTGCTCAGCTCTATGGGTACCTGGTTCCAGCCTTGAATTCCAAGCCCTTCTCTCCCGTCTCCTTCTGTCCCCTTACCCAGAGGGGGCCACTAGCACTGTGGAAGCCCTTGTAGTTCCCACACCCACATTTCTACCTCAAGATTTAGACAGGACCCACTGTATAATTTGCTGGGCTCAGTGAAAAATGTGGACTTCTTTGTTTAGACAGTAAGAATTTCAAAATAGCCCTTGCAGCTACCTGGACTCTGCTCCATTCCCTTCTGTTTGCCTCCCATTCACCATCCAGATGCCGCTGCTCAGGCTGCAGCTCTTTCACACATCTTTCCCTGATCAACTCCCATCTTCTCTACTCTCTACCTCCTTGTTACCTGGCTGGGTCCACACTGTACTGCACTCATCCCTTTTCTCGTCTGCCCTCTCTGTCTCCGTGACGGCACTGAGCAATTTCAGAAGGAAATGTGTACTTCTCTACTTGTAGCCCAAGAACCTAAAACAGGTTGTGGCATATAGCAGATATGAAAGAAATGTCTGTAGGTCAGTGTTTCCATGTGGCAGTGCTGCACGTAGCTGTCTCCTTTGGACATGTCCATAACATCCATGACAGAATTACCACATTGTGCTACATATATGTGCACAAGCTTTGACACCAAGCTTTGTCATACATGCTTATTTTACTGATGTCCCTCCATCAGGAGTCTGAATGGGCCCAGGGTAGTGCTCTATGTTAGCAATGATCCACTGCTCACCCCAGTAGCTGGAAGAATAGAACATATGGTTCTGTTTCCCCTTCTAGAAGTTCTATGATGGCTAGGACATCTTGTTCTCTATAGGATTGTTCGTGTACAGAACAGCACCTGGCACATGGTAGTGTTTAATAAATACGAGTGAAAGAAATGCTAAAAGAGCAATAGACTAAAAGTGCTTTGTAATCAAAACAATATGTGTGCTGAGTAATTTAGTAGTACAGTTGTGTACAGTGGTGTGGTTACAGGGACCTGGACCAGAAGACAAAGTTCCAATAACAATGACAACATCTCCAAAGTGTGTGTGTGTGTGTGTGTGTGTGTGTGTGTGTGTGTGTGTTGGTACTAGGGTTTGTACTCAGGGCCTGAGCACTGTCCCTTAGCTTTTTCATTCAAGGTTAGCACTCTACCACTTGAGCCATAGCTCTACTTCTGGCTCTTTTTGTGTGTGTTTAGTTAATTAGAAATAAAAGTCTCATAGACTTTTCTGCCTGGGCTGGCTTTGAACCATAATCCTCAGATCTCAGTCTCCTGAGTAGCTAGGATACAGGTGTGAGCCACTGATGCCCAGCTAGGCCACATCATTTAATCCTTATTTTATTCCCAAGAATGGGGCACAAGAGAAGGGATGGGCCATTGAAGAGGTGAGAGAAAAGTTAAGCAGCTTGCCCACATTACTGAGTGGTGTTCAGATACCTGCTCCACCCCATAACTGATGGGTTTGGAAGTGTGTGTTCATTCTGCCTTGTAGGCCTGGCTTTCTCTGTGCCCTCAGATGGGTCATTTAGTCTTTTGAGTTCTTAATTTTCTCATCATCAAAATGAGGGCTGGGCTCACTTTAGGTTTAAAGTTTAGTGTTTTGAAAGCTGCGAACTTGGTCAGTCTGCAATAGGTGGTTTTGTTATTGTTAGCTTTTATGGGTTTGTTGGTTTCTAAATAAGTACAGAAAAAGAAACCTTGAGTCATTTTGGAAAAACTTGCAAAATACTATTTTCCTATATGCAGCTCATTTCACTCCCCAAGCCCCTGCCTTCCTGCCATACTGCAGATTTACTTTCTCTTCTCCTTCGACAAAATATTTTATCACAGACTAGATAGAATCCAGTAGCAGCCCAGACAAAACTTCGATGGTCAATTGACTGATGATAAAAGTGTGGTATTTTAAGTCTAAGAGTCTGTGTTTATAAACTCATTGTGTTTTGTTTCAGAAGTAGAATGTCTTCGTGCAACTTTACCTCAGGCCTCACTAGAAAACTTTATAAATAAGTCCCAGCCGTACCATTCTGGGCCCCTCTGACCACCTCTTTCCCCTTCCCCTCCCACACTGCTTTCCTGCTGTTCCTGTCCCAGCCCAGGTACTCTTTTGCCATCCAGCCTCCATATTAACATCCCTTGTGCTCCCATGACCCCTTATTGCCCCTCTTCCTACTTCCTTTTACCCTTTTCTACTCTCTGCTATTTTTGCTTTCTTTGGTCATGCTTATTATGTTATAGCAGACCATAAATCTTATTTATTATGGTGTATTACTGTTGTATTTTTACACCCATGAGGATGGACTATTTTTGAGGCAAAATATCTCTGTTTTGCCGCTAATTCAGCCAAGTGTCTAAGGCAGAGTTTGACCTCAAGGAGGCACTTGATAAACTATTTTAAGATGAAACAATGTAACATATGAGAAAAGATATGACTAGGGAACATGGAAATAGGTAGGTAGACTAAATAGTCCATACCCTAAATTCTGTTTTCTTTCCAGTAGACATGAAGCCAATGGAGTTAAGATCCTATTCATTTTTAGCTGCAGAAGTGATGATTTAAACTTGTCATTGTGGTGCAGTCTTGTGTTCAGGGAGGCTTGGCCATAAAACATAAGTAACAAATAACTTTAAAATTCTATAAATTACGATAGAAAATAACATTGGAAGGCACTAATTCCTGAAATAAGAAATACTTTGAGAAAACATGTTCTTGTTATTACAGCAAAGAAGATAACACAATACAAAGAAGCAGTTATGATGGGGAACTCTACGGTGAAAATCAATGGGATTCATTTAACAGAACCAAATGCCACTGACCACTTAAAAAGTCACCCTGTCCAACTAACTTATGATGGAGGCTTCAGAGAAATCAAAGGCCAAGAAGTGTTCAAAGAAGCACCACCTATACCATCTCATCTCAGAAGAGGAGGGTCAGTATACTTTGCATTTAATTTTCTGGTAGAGTAACTATGTTATTTATGAGTTTTTTTCCCATTGTATGTAGAAGATTCATGTTCTATTTCCCTTTTATAGGAGCAATTTTTAAATGAATGCATGACTAGAAGAGATATTTTTTCCTTCACAGCTGGATAGATGTTTGATCATTCTCTATGTAATCCCCAGGGACCATTTTATTAATAATTGCCAACATACTGCTCCTTGGGGCTGTCACAACAAGATTCAATGAGGCTGTGGCAGCCATTGCCCAAATGATGACTGATCATTGTGTATGTGTCTTATTTGAGACTCTTGTCTGGCCTGGAAACTCCTACTACATACTTGGGGGTAGTGCATATATTGTTACTATATTGTAAATTCCACAGCAGATCTGTAGATTTCAGCTATCTGTGCCAGCCCTCCACTAGCCCCTCATGTTGGCAGTTTCTTACAGGCTTCTTCAAGACGTGTGCTTCCTACAGCTTGAAGGACTTGAAGAAGGACAAACATTCTCTCTATGGTCTGCATACATCTTTTCCCTGGTATCTTACTGAACAGGCAGGCATGAAGATAGCAGGGAGAGCAGGTCGGTTCCCAATCTCAGCCAGTAGCGATGCTGAGATAAGCACAAGGCCTTGGACTAAGCAGGGTCACTCAGTTAAAGATACTTTTTTCTAGGATTCTCCATTGTCCATCATGGACAAATGCCCAGCTCAAACTTGCTTAACAAGATTAAATACCATGGCCTATTTTTTTTTTTTTAAAGCCCAAGTACTTATGCTCTCACTTGAGATTTTTGGGTTTGCCTTTGGCTCAGCCACATGTACATCCAAAAATGTTTCCCTGAAGTCGTTGTTTGGCAGCTGGTTAGTTTAGCTGAGCTGACCTTGTGTGCTGACACAGCCTAGAGTGTCAACTAGCAGAATTTATATATTAAGCTACCTTGAGGTCCTTGTGATGTCACTTCGCATTCAAAACATTTTTTTTAAATGAAAGGTGGGGGGAGGGATGAAATGTCTCCTTAAGTGGAAAAGAACAACTTCAAATTGGGACTCTGGGAGTTGAGCCCATCAAAGTAGCCTTTGCCGTCGAATCTTTTCCAGTGGGTGAGTAAGAATAGGCCACAGAGCTCAGCCCTGAACCATAGAGGGCAGGAGGACAAGCTGTGCTTCGTTCCATCCTGGAGTAAAAGAAGGAAACACTTCTTTTGCTGCATCCATCCTTACAGTAATGAAAGCTGACGAGGCAAACCAGACAAAAGCTATTTAATTTGTTTATTTATTTTTGTAAAGCTTCAGATGTTGTAGAACAACCCGACCCTGCCAGAGTTCATCACGTCTTTTTCATTCAGGGACAACAAGGGCATTTGGTAGTTAAAGATTTTATCCCCCACACAGCAAAGAACAGGTTCTTTTAGGGGACCGGACATAGTCTTTCCGACTATCCAAAGGGAGGAGGTGTTGGTGGCAGCACTGCTGATTGTCCCTTTGTTTTGGAAATACAGCTTTCATGTCACACAGCCACGGCTGGCATGGAGTCTGTGGTGCACCCTGGGAAGTTTAACTTTCAGTAACAAGCTTTCCCCTCCTTTCATCTTTATGAGGAATTTTGTTGAAGGAATTCCAACAACAACAACCAGAAAGAAAAAAAAAAGTTTATGCCGTAGGATTAAAACAAACCAGAAAATGGAAACTCTTAGCAATTCTCCCTTCAAGTACATTTGGGAATCAGTCAGGGACACTTGATAATTGTTTCTTGTAAACATTTAAAGGAATAATTCCAAGAAATGATCTCTGCTAGGCGGTGGCTTATTCCCAGTTTTGATGTAAAAGCCCTCCCCTCAATGAACATTCCCTCCCCCCCCTCAATCAGGAGACCCGAAATAGAAAATTAAGGCCCTTGGCAGTAAGCTGGACTGGCAGAGGGAGGGTAGAGGTAGGAGAGGACAGTGACAGGAGACAGAGTAAGTGATGTGCTGACAAGCTTGCTCCCAGTGTGGGGTCTAGTGGGCTTTCCTTCCTGTTAAAATACGGATAGTTAAGACATGGCATGGCCTGAAGTTTAACTTTACACCAGTTACGATGGGGGAAGATTCGCTAAGCAAAGTGCCATTACAAATGAGATATTAGGGATGAGGTAACTTCCCCAGAGATTCTCCAGCTTGTATGAGGCTGCCATCCTCAATCCTGTGTCCACTGAGGAATCAATTTGAAGTTTGGAAAGTTGATTCCTTGGTAGCACGTCACTATTTCTCACTCTGTAGTACATGATTGAAAAGAGTAACACTGACATTAACAAGGAGGGTGAGCTGAGTGCTGGTGGATTACTTCCTAGCTACTCAGGAAGCTGAGACCTAAGAAGCATGGTTTGAAGCTACCCTGGGTAGAAAAATCCCCAAGACTCTTATCTCTAATTAATCAGTAAAAAGTTGAAGTGGAGGTGCAGCTCAAATTGTAGAATGGTCAGCCTTGAGTGAAAAAGCTAAGCAAGCGTGTGAGCCCTGAGTTCAAGTGCCAGTGTTAGCACAAAAGAATGACAGGAAAGGAAAGGAAGGGGAGGAGGGAAGGGGAGGGGAGGGAAAGAAAGGATGAGAAAGGAAAGAATAAAAAAGGAGTATGTACATCTCCGCCCAGCCAGTGGTCCTATCTGATGAGCCCTTTATACATCTGCATAAATACCACTAAGGCTTTCTGTGTGAATATTCTACATGCCCTAGTTAGGATCTAAGACCTGGAGGGGAGTCTCAGGGCAACCCAGGAGCCAAGATCTCTGGGTTGTCTCTCAGCCACTCCATTTAGTTGTATGCCTTCTACCAAGTTTCCTAATTCCCCCTAAGGGGCTTTTTCCTAACCTAGGAGATAAAAAGACTCGTCTCCCTCCTTTATCTCTTCTACCTTCCCAATTGCAGGTTGTAGAATGAGCACTCAGGTTGTGCAGCCTTACTTGTAAACTAACAAGGGCCTTTAATATGGTTAAAATAAAAAATGAGGGAAGTGAGCTTCTGACTAAAGATGATAAAGTCAAGCACTCTGCAGAAACCCAATGAAAACAGCAAAGAATGAAAAACAGAAATAAATGTCAATGAAACAGAAGAAATGGCTCCAATCCAGACTATAAAACATGGAGTAAAGCTTATATTGCAGTACTGGGTTTGATTGTTTTTTATCTTCCTGGCAAACTTCCCTATACAGGGAAGCAGCCCTCTCACATGTGCAGTAAACGCTGCTCTGTCTGACCCCGCCCTCCTCCTGTCTCTCACCAGGGGTGGCCAGGTGACCCAGCTTTAGTGGCTGGTTCAGGGCTGGGCTCATAGTTCAAGTGAGGCTGACTGAGATCTTCCCTGGGACTATCCCCAAGGCCTTTGGGAAATGGGGTCTTTCTCCAGGCTGCAAAGATAATGTAGTCTTGCAGCTGACAGAGGCCCTTTCCCTGCCTTGTAGAGGGAGGCTCTGAAATACACAATCAGAGCAATCCAGTTCAAGAATAGTTATTAAGTCCTAGATCCAGTGCTTCAAGCTACCACTTCAGCATTGCAGACTACTCTCCATATTTTACTTTTTTTCTTTTTCTTCCTTCCTTCTCTTCTTCCTCCATTTCTTTGTGTTTTGTTCTCTCTCTCTCTTTCTCTCTCTCTCTCTCTCTCTCTCTTTCTCTCTCTCTCCTCCATCTCTCTTTTCTGGTCATGGTATTTCAGATTAAGTTTTGTTACTTGGAATGTGGCAATCAAAAAGTCTAGTTCATTTTCTTTACTGTGAAAATAAGGGGTGATCTGAGAGTTGATACATACCTTTTCAGACTTTGAGCAAGAAACAGATTTTACAAAAAGAGAGTTTTCCATTCAGATGAATATATCCAGTAGCCTGTTGAAAGAGATGAGATCTAAGGATGTGGGTAGCCTAAAAGAAAGAGAGGATGCCTACAGGAATTCAGTTCAAGATACATATTATGAAATGTTGGGGGACATGGTAGAGCTGAGGGTGACATGTTCTCTTTATTGCCTGTGAGCTGGCAAATTTGTGTGTATATGTGTGTGTGTTGGCGAAGGGGTTAACAGATTAGAATTCAAGCAGTGCATCATGTAAAGTGGCTTTTTAGTGAGTCACAACACTCTATTCCATAATACTCCTCAGAGTAAAAGAAAATAGATTTTATCATTGGATATTCAAAAACTTCACCTCCACAGTACCCAAGTTCTCTTTTTCTGTGGATCTTATTCAACTTCAACAAATGAAGACAAATTATATCAGGATAAAAACTAAACTGGGAAGGTGGCTCAGTGGTAGAGCACTTGCCTTGCATGCCTGAGGTCCTGGGTTCGATTCCTCAGCACCACATAAGCAAAAAGAAAAAAGCCGGAAGTGGCGCTGTGGCTCAAGCGGTAGAGCGCTAGCCTTGAGCTGAAGAGCTGAAGGACAGCACCCAGGCCCAGAGTTCAGGCCCCATGACCGGACCCAAAAAAAAAACCAAAAAACTAAACTAAGACTCAGCTTAGATAAGTAAAGAATATTACAAAAGACAGGCTGGAGTGGTGGCTGGATTGTGATTAAGGCAAACAAGATCCTGTTAGGAAAATAGCTAAAGCAAAAAAAAAAAAAAAATGTGCAGAGAAGACCTGGAAATACGCCTTTAAATAAATAGTAAATCACCTACCTAGCAAGTGCAAGGCTCTGAATTCAAACCCCAGAATTGCCTAAAAAAGAGAAAGAAAAGAAAAAATAGTATGACAAATGACAGATGAAGAAAATATATCACAAAAGACAGTATCCTCAAAACAATGTGAGAAGAGTTAAAACAGTTCTCTTTGGTCTCATAGGTAATGTGAACCTTCCATTTTACAGAAAAGGAATAAGAGCTCTTCTTTGGGTTACAGGAACTCAAATTAGAGACTATAAATCCATATCAGGTGATCAAAATAAACTTGCAGTTCTCAAAAAAGAGATCAAAGAAAACAATATGCATATGAGGAGAAAATGACATTAAGTAGGATAAAAAT